AAGAACATGAGCACCATGAGTAAAGACATAGAAATGTTGAAAATCAACCAGTTGGAAATTAAAAACCACCCAGAAGTAATGAAGAATGACATATCAGAAATAAAAAACACATTGGAAAGACTAAATAGCAGAGTAGAGGAAGCTGAGGATTGGATCAGTGAATTAGAAGATAGGGTAGAAAAAATCAACCAATCAGAAAACTGAAAGAAAAAAATAATTAAAAAACAGAAAAACACCTTAAGAGAACTGTGGGACAATGGGAAACGTAATATCATTCGCATCATAGGAGTCCTCAAAGAAGAAAATGAGCAAAGGATAGAGAATATACTTGAAGAAATAGTGACAGAAAACTTCAAAAGTTTGGTGAAGGAAGAAGGCATTCAAGTTTAATAAGCACAAAGAGCACCAAGTAAGAAGAACCCAAAGAAGCCCATACCAAGACACATAATAATCAAAGTGCCAAAAATTCAAGACAAAAATAGAATCTTAAAGGCAGCAAGAGAGAAGCAACAGGTTACCTACAAAGGAAACCCCATAAGGCTCTCAGCTGACTTCTCAACAGAAACACTACAGGCCAGAAGGGAATGGCATGAAGTAATCAAGGTCAAGAAAAACAAGAATCTGAATACAAAACTACTCTACCCAACAAGGCTGTCATTCAAAATAGAAGGTCAAATAAAGAGCTTCTCAGACAAAAAAAAAAGGCTAAGGGAATACATTAGCAGCAATTCAACACTGCAAGAAATGTTAAAAGGACTTCTGTATTTAGCAGGAGAAATAGGAACAAAAATAGAACCACACTAAACAAAAATGGCAATAAATAAGTACATATCAATAATCACCTTAAATGTAAATGGATTGAATCCTCCGAGTAAAAGACACAGAGTAGCTGATTGGATAAGAAAGCATGACTCAACTCATCCATATGTTGTTTACAAGAGACCCACCTCACAACAAAAGACTCACATAGGTTGAAAGTGAAGGAATTGGAAAAAAAAATTTCAAGCAAACAAAAAGCAAAAAAAAGCTGGGGTAGCAATTCTCATATCTGATAAAATAGATTTCAAAATGAAGGCCATAACAAGAGACAAAGAAGGCCACTACATAATATTGAAAGAATCTATCCAACAGGAAGATATAACCTTGATAAACATATATGCACCCAATATAGGAGCACCAAAATATATTTAAAATCATCTGGAGGATTTCAAAGGAGAAATCAACAGCAATGCAATCATAGCAGGGAACTTAAAAACCCCGCTGACATCACTGGATTGATCCTCTAGACAAAAAGTTAGCAAGGAAACAGAGACTCTAAATGAAGCACCAGACCAAATTGATTTAATAGACATCTACAGAGATTTACAAACCACAACTAGCGAATTCACATGCTTCTCAAGTGCACATGGGACATTCTCAAAGATAGAGCACATGATAGAACATAAACTAAATCTCTACAAGTTCAAGATTGAAATCATATCAAGCATCTTCTCAGATCACAATGGCATGAAACTAGAAATCAATTGCAACAAGAACATATAAAGACATTAGAACACATGGAAGCTAAATAGCAAGTTATTAAACAATGAATGGGTTACTGAGGAGATCAAGGAAGAAATTTAAAACTTCCTGGAAACCAATGAAAATGAACACACAACAACACAAAATCTATGGGATGCAGCAAAAGCAGTTCTGAGAGGGAAGTTCATAGCACTGCAGGCCTAACTCAAAAAACAAGAAAAATCTCTAATAGACTATTTAACTTCATAACTTAAAGAACTAGAGGGCAAACAAAAAGAAAACCCTAGAGCAAGTAGACGGAAGGAAATAGTAAAGATCAGAGCAGAAATAAAAGACATAGTGTCCAAAAAAACAATTCAAAGGATCAATGAAAGAAAGAGCTGGTTTTTCAAAAAGATAAACAAGATTGGACCCCAGCTAGACTCACCAAAAAACAGAGAGAGAGAACCCAAATACACAAAATCAGAAATGAAAAGGGAGAAGTAACAACTGACACCACAGAAATACAAAGGATCGTTTACAGCTACTATGAACAATTATATGGCAACAAATTCAACATACTAAGGGAAATGGACAAATTTCTAGAAACACACTGTCTCCCAAAACTGGACCAGGAAGAGATAGAAAAATTGAACATGTAATCAAGACTCCCAGCAAACAAAAGCCCTGGCCCGGATGGCTTCACAGTGGAGTTTTACCAAACATTCAAAGAAGAACTAACTCCTATTCTCCTCTAACTATTTTTTAAAAATCTAAGAAGAAGAAAGTCTTCCAAACTCGTTTAATGAGGCCAGCATAATTCTAATTCCAAAACCAGAAAAAGACACTACAAAGTAAGAAAACTACAGGCCAATGCCCCTAATGAACATAGACGCCAAAATCCTGAACAAAATACTAGCAAATCGAATCTAGCAATGCACCGAAAAAATTATCCACCATGACCAAGTGGGATTCATCCCAGGAATGCAAAGCTGGTACAATGTTTGCAAATGAGTAAACATGATACACCACATAAATAAAATGAAGAATAAATACCACATGATCATATCAATAGACGCTGAAAAAGCCTTTGACAAAATCCATCATCCATTTCTGATAAAAACACTCACAATGAGAAAATACAGGGATCATATCTAGACACAATAAAGGCTATATATGAAAGACCTACAGCCAACATCATACTCAATGGGCAAACAATAAAAGCATTTTCCTTAAGAACAGGAACAAGGCAAGGGATGTCCACTTTTGCCACTCTTATTTAAAATAGTACTAGAATTCTTAGCCACAGCAATCAGACAGGAAGAAAAAATAAAAGGGATCCAAATTGGAAAGGAGGAAGTGAAACTGTTATTATTTGCAGATGACATGATACTATACGTAGAACACCCCAAAGACTCCATCAAAAATTTACTAGACTTAATAAATGAATTTGGCAAAGTAGCAGGATACAAAATTAATGTCAAGAAATCGATGGCATTCTTATACACCGATGATGAACTCACAGAAAGAGAATCTAAGAAAACAATCCCATTTAACATTGCGGCAAAAAAATTAAGATACCTAGGAATATATTTACCCAAAGAAATAAAGGACCTATTCACAGAAAACTACAGGTCATTGAAAAAAAAAAAAAAAATAGAGGAAGATATAAAAATGTGGAAGCACATACCCTGTTCATGGATTGGAAGAATTAACATCATTAAAATGTCCGTATCACCCAAAGCTATCTATAGATTCAATGAAATCCCCATCAAAATACCAATGACATACTTCACAGTACTAGAACAAATTCTTCAAAAGTTCATATGGAACCAAAAAAGACCTCAAATAGCCACAGCAATCTTGAAAAAGAAGAACAAAGTTGAAGGGATCACATTACCAGATTTCAGGTTATGCTACAAAGCAACTGTAATCAAAACAGCCTGATACTGGCACAAGAACAAGCATACGGACAAGTGGAACAGAACAGAGAACCCAGAAATGGACCCAAGGCAATATGCTCAAATATTATTTGACAAAGGTAGCAAGAGCATACAGTGGAGTAAGGACAGCCTCTTTAATAAATGGTGTTAGGAAAATTGGACAGCTACATGCAGGAAAATGAAACTAGACCATCAACGTCCACCATACACAAGAATAAACTCAAAATGGATAAAAGACTTAAATGTGACTCATGAATCCATAAAAATCCTAGAAGAAAATGTAGGCAACAATATTTCAGACATCATATGCAGCAGAATTTTCACTGATACATCACCTAAGGCAATAGAAACAAAGGAGAAAATGAACACATGGGACTACTTCAAACTCAAAAGCTTCTGCACAGTGAAAGATCAATCATCAAAATGGAAAGGCTACCCACTGTATGGGAGAACATAATTGCCAATGATACATCAGATAAGGGGTTAATTTCCAATATATATAGATTGTTCATACAACTCCACAAAAGGAAGACACAGAACCCAATTAAAAAAAAATGGGCAGAGGAACTAAATAGACACCTCTCCAAACAGGACATACAAATGGCTAAGATACATATGAAGAGATGCTCAACATCACTAATCATCAGAGAGATGCCAATTAAAACAACAATGAGGTATCACCCCACACCTGTCAGAATAGCCACCATCAACAAATCATCAAACAACAAGTGTTGGCAACAGTGTGGAGAAAAGGAGACTCTAGTACACTGCTGGTGGGAATGCAGACTGGTGCAGCCACTATGGAAAACAATATGGTGTTACCTCAAAAAATTAAAAATTGAACTTCCATTTGACCCAGGGATCCCCCTTCTAGGAATATCCCCTAAGAAGCCTGAAACACCCATCAGAAAGAATATATGTACCCCCATGTTCGTAGCAGCACTATTTACAATAGCTAAGATCTGGAAACAGCCCATGTGTCCATCATAGATGAGTGCATAAAAAAGCAGTGGTACATATACACAATGGAGTACTATGCAGCTGTAAAAAAGAAAGCTCTCTTATCCTTGCAGACAACATGGAGAGACCTGGAAAGTATTATCCTAAGTGAAATAAGCCAAGCAGAAAATTACAAATACCTCATGATCTCACTTATTTTTGGACTATAACAATCATAACAGTCTGAGAAATAGGGTATAGCCAGAGGCTTGGAAGTAGGGTACAGACTGACAACCCTCGGGAGAGGGGGTGGTGGGGGGTAGGAAGAGATAAACCACAGAACTTATATGCATGTGTACATAACCAATGGACATGGACAACAAAGCCGGGGACGGGGTGTGGGGGATGGGGAGGAGGGTGTCAATGGGATAAAAAAGGAGAAACATCTGTAACAAAAATAAAATAAATTAAATTAATTAATTTAAAAAAAATTTTTTAAATGACTTCAAATGTTCACTCATATTTAAGTTGAACACTTTATGGTTATTTTCTTAAACCCATTAGAAAACTGTACAAGTCAACCTAATTGGCTTGTTCATGTAAAATATTTTACTTTACCCAAACAGAAGCAAATAAATCTTTGATACTAGTTCCAAATTCCTGATCTTTATATATTCTATCCAACAAATGAGGCATCTTCTTTTTCCCAGCTTTTATCTTTGCTGAACCTATATGTTAAAAAGCAAAAGAATTTTATGACATATTTAAATAACTAAAACACATATATAAACATACATACACATCCTAATAAACCTAGTTTGCTTGGAATGCCAAGTGAACTATTTTTGAACAAGCTAAACTCAATCTAATTAAATAAAAGTTAAATTCTTCTAACAGTGTTGTCCTAAAGAGTCTTCTGTTATAATGAAAGTGGTTTGTGTCTGTACTGTATAATAGCTTAGCCATTAAACACTTGAAATGTAGCTCCTATGACTGAGTAGATGAATTTCTAATTTAATTTAGTTTAAAATTTAAATAGCCACATGTAGCAAGTTACTACAGTATTTGACAGCATAGTCCTGAAAATATAAAAGAGTTATCTTTAATGTTACTAAAACAGTTTGTGCCAATGCAATGTACTGCCATTAAGAGAATATTTGATTTCTCTAATGTTACATGTTTTTGTTAGTGTTTGTAAAAGAGTTTCAATAGTTATTATTTTATCTTAAAACAATTCTATGAGGTAGTACATATACTAAATAATGTGCTTAGATATAATATGCTTTATTCTTTAAGAAAATTTATGAACTGTAGATATAACGCATTTTAAAAAATAAATGACAAGGAACAAAAATATGTGTAAATGGAAGTCTGGTACATAAATAAAATGTTATCTGGCCACATGAAGCTTCATTTGTTCAAATAATACTCATATTTGTTGAAGTAATATTCATATTTATTCAAATAATAATCACATATTTCTGCATCTTCATGACAGAGAGAAATGTAGTTCAAGCATATTCTGAGAATGAGGGAGGAAGGTGGGGTGAGGAACCTACTGTACTTTAATTTAATTAAGTATATCATTATAGTCACCTTTTATATGCTGTGGAAAGCATGAAAGTGGTATTAATGTAGACCATGCAATAACTGCGACAAAAACAAAACGAATCCACCAAGTCTGTAGCCAGTGTTCATTATTGTAACTATCTCCAATGCTTTAATAGAGAAAAATGAAAAATGTCAAGTTTGTGTATTTTATTACAAACAAAACCATAATTGAAAGAGAAAGAAAAAGATAGAGAAATGAAACATCTTTCTGTTACTGCGTTCCTGTTGCTTGTTTTGCTGAGTGTGTGGTTGTGAGTCCTCCAATTGCGCAGTTCCCTTTTGTCCTATAGAATCCTAAATGTTTTCCCTTTCCTTCTCCCCTGTCCACTCAAGTGATTCTTTGAGTAGGAATTCTGTAATCTTTTTAAACTTTTTTCTCTAACATAAGTTATGCATTTGGAAGACTATCCCTTTAAATCTCCCCTGTCTTGAAAATGATTCCTACCCCTTTAAATCACGCACCTAGACCTTTAGTGAAAACCTCCACTTTAAATTGCACAACTAACCCTCTAAATCATATTTATTATGATATATATATCTTATAGTTTCCTCTCTGAACTCTCAGACTAACAGTGAATTATGCTTCCAGTAATCTACCTAATCTTCCTTAGGACCCTTTATTAGCCATTATCTTTTCTCTGACCTGCAATTTTTCCTGTTCCACCTTTGTAAACCACAAAGCCTCACAGTGAGCAGAGCGCGATGGGAATGTGAAGGATCTCGTGCTGGGTTTTTTAAATTTTCTCTTTTTACTCACATTCATTTTACAATTTCAGCATTCTTTGTCTTCATTAATACTGGGGCTATGATTTGTGTGAAGAATTTTCATAATTGTGAAGTTATTTTGTACCATTTAGAGAGAAGATTTAGGGAAGTTTATTACTACACCGCTGCCATTGTCTTCAGTTTCACACACATTTAAGACCTTGTCCAACCAGCCATGGTGGGGAAATGCCCATATCCCCAGGAACCACAGGTCTGGAGGTGCTAGTTTCTCTCACAGGTGACTCTACCTACTGCCAGCAGACAGCTGATCAGTGGCTTACTTACAGGCCTGTTCTCTCACAGAATGTGGAGAATACCAGTTTTATTGACGGGCCAACTCCTTATCCATTGCTACATTATTCAGGGATACCAACTCCAAAGTGCAATGACACAGGGTTGCAATCTTGATTTCCACTATCCAGTAGGTATAAGCATAAGCTATGCCTAGAAAGTTTTGATTCCAGATTGCCACTAGAGGTACAAATTTCCTCGTTATTTATAATTTTCAAAAATGTTCTTTTTTTAGCTTTTGAACCCAGCTATATATCCTAACTATATGCATTTTATTACATATAATATGATTATTACATTTGTGTATAAATTGAGTACCTAAAAATTAAGAAAAATGAACTTAAAAAACTACAAAGTATAAGCAACAAATTTAATAGAATAACATATAAATAAGACAAACTTAGAAATCAACATTTCCTTCTACTAAAAATAAATGATTAATAAAGGTAATAATACAAAGATTCCATGCACAACATGAAATCAGTGAAAATAAGTGAAATCAGTAGGAATAAGCTAAATAGGATATCTTCAATAAATAAAATCATAAAATTTTAGTGAAGGGCATAAAAGAAATGCAGAGAAAATAGAGCAACATACCATATTTTTGCATGGAAAGATAATAGTTATTCCCATTTTGAAACATAAATGCAAGTATTTCAAATCAAAATGCTTTTATTGTAACCTGCAGTTATCAAATTTACCTAGAAAATAATTTTGCAAAAACAGTCCCTGATTTTTTTTCCCCCATATCCTCACTTGAGGACATTTTTGCATTTACCTTCAGATAGAACAGGAGAGAGAGAGAAACATTGATGTGAGAGAGACACATCAAGTGATTGCCACCCACACGACCCCAACCGCAGCTGGGGACAAACTGCAACTGAGGTACATGCCCTTAGCGGGAACCAAACCCAGGAAGGACGCTCTGGTCCACAGGCCCACACTCTAAACACTGAGCCAAATCAGCCAGGGCAGTCCTGATTTTTAATGAATAATAATGAATAGGGATTTATTCATCCAAATATCAAATTATATGATAAAGTTTTTAGTAATTAAATATAATTAGTTGTATTTAGTAGTTATATGTAGTTAACTCAGTTATTTTACTTATTTAGTTATTAAAACATTGTAGTATTGGCATTAGGTACAATAATATATCAGAAAACAGATTAGACAAGAGAGGAAAAACTCATTTATAAAAAAATTTAATTTATGATAAAGATGGTATTTAATCATTAAAAAATAAATTAATTTTTAAAAATGAAATTATCCAAAATGTCATTAGTACAACTAGATATCCCTTTGAGAGAAAAATAGAATCTTGGTCTATGTCTCATATTATATGCAAAAATAAATTGAAATTGGAAGTTAAATTTAAACACAACCAAAACAGACAAGGACACTACAAAAATAGAGAATTACAGGCAACTATCCCTGATGAACATAGACACAGAATCCTCAACAGGGTATTAGCAGACCTAATGTTTAATGTTTCAACAAAACATTAAAAGGATCATACACCATAATAAAGTGGGATTTATTCCAGAAATGCAAGCATGGTTCAGCGTCCACAATCAATCAATGTAATATACCACATTAACAAAATAAAAGATAAAAATCATAGGATTATGTCAAATGATGTCGAAAAGCATTTGACAAAATTCAAAATCCATTCATGATAAAAACTCTCAACAAAGTAGGTATAGATGAAACATACCTCAACATAATAAAGGCCATATGTGACAAGTTCATAACTAACATCATATTCAATGGCAAAAAATAGAACCTTTTCCTCTAAGATCAAGAATAAAACGAGAATGCCCAATCTCCACACTTTTCTTCAACAAAGCACTGGAAGTACTAGACAGAGTGATTAGATAAAAAACAGAAAAGAAGAAGGGAAGGGAAGGGAAGGGGAGGGAAGGGGAGGGGAGGGGAGGGGAGGGGAGGGGAGGGGAGGGGAGGGGAGGGGAGGGGAGGGGAGGGGAGGGGAGGGGAGGGGAGGGGAGGGATAAATGGCATCCAAATCAGAAAGGAGTAAGTAAAATTATCTCTGTTTGAAGATGATATGATACTATATATAGAAACCCCTAAAGTCTCCACCAGAAAACTATTAATGGCACCAAACTATGACACCATTCTATTAAGCCAGCTATTTCTGGATAATGAAGGCACTAGTAAGACCAGTGAATTCTGGAGTTATCATACTGTCACACTTCCTTTGTCTTATCATATGTTCCTTAGTTAGAGACGATATTGTGTAAGAATTCATAGGGATGAATATGGCATCTCTAAGTCTTTGAATGGTGGTGCTAGCAGAATCACTGTAGGCAGATGTTATAGATTGAAAGTGTGTGTACTGCCAAATTCATATGTTGAGATACTAACCCCTAATGTATTGGGGGTAGGGGCTTTTGGGAGGTGACTGAATCATGAAAATGGAGCACATATAAATGTGATTAAGGATCTTATAAAAGAGAGCCCAGCCTGGCCAGTGTGGCTCAGTGGTTGAGCATCGACCCATGCACCAAGAGGTCACCAGTTTGATTTCTGGTTGGGGCACATGCCCAGGTTGTGGGCCCGATACCCAGTGGGGGGCATGCAGGAGGTGGCCAATCGATGTTTCTCTCACCCTCTCCCTTCCTCTCTCTCTGAGATCAATAAAAAAAAAAAAAAAGACTATATTAGAAAAAAATTTAAAAAAAAATGTATTAAAAAAAAAGAAAGAGCCCAGAGAGCTTTCTTGCCCCTTCAGCCATGTAAGAACATAGGGAGAAGTTGGCTGTCCATGAACCAGGAAGCAGGACCTCACCAGACATCACATTTAATGGCACCTTGATCTTGGACTTCTAAGCTTGAAAAATAAATTTCTGTTCTTTATAAACCCAATCTATAGTTTTGTTATAGTAGCCTGAAAGGACTAAGATAGAGAAGAAAAATTCTTGCCTAGGATATGTATCTTTTCCTGTGAAAACAAATCTCCTCTTGGTTAAAAGAGGGCCTATATAATCACCCTTTTGACAGCTTGTCTCCCAATGAATGTGCCATATAAGGGACTCACAGTTGACCTCTACTGTTGAGAAGTCGACTGCTCATTAACAGTAATACACATTTACTGACAAATATTCATGATGAGAAATTGTCCTTTGGTGAGTAAGTCCATGTGATTGCACTCATACAAAGTCACCATTAACGTCACCATGGTCACTTTTCACATGGGCTTTTTGAGGAAGAACTGGGGTAATTAAAGAAAGAGCGAAGCTGCCCTGGCCGGTTTGGCTCAGCGGTTAGAGCGTCCGCCTGCGGGCCGGAGAGACCCGGGTTCGGTTCCCGCTAAGGGCGCGTACCTCGGTTGCAGTTTGTCCCCGGCCCTGGTCGGTTGTGCGGGTGGCAGCCACTCGATGTGTCCCTTTCACATCGATGTTTCTCTCTCTCTCTCTCTGTTCCTCTCTCTCCCTCCCACTCTACCTGAACAAAAAATGGAAAAATGTCCTCGGGTGAGGATAAAAAAAAAAAAAGAGCGAAGCTGACTAACATAAACAGGAGGGGTCATTTTGTCCAACTGATTAAAGTATATACTTCTTCCAAAGTATATATCCTCTTCATGTACCAGTTCCCAGAGGTCCACCCACAAATTCTACCTGTTATTTAGTTTCCAATCTTGTTCTAAATCTCTGGCTACCCAACTATGAATCAGTATAAATTTATATCTCAGGCCATCTATCCTTCTATGCTAAGTGGACAATCAGTCTCAAGTTTTACTCACTAGGATTTCCCTTATTTCAAGGCCACTGTTGAGTGGAGTTATAATGTAATGGTCATCCTCCTTTCTCATCTCATGACAGGACTTAATATTCACACACTCACATGTTTCCTTTCTCCTGGGAATGTTCTCTAGTATTGTTAAAATAAGTCATATGATCCAGGTCTTAAAAGCACTTTTGTTACCTGAATGACTAAATGCTACAATTCCTTATTTTTCCAATCTTTCCCTCTCCTGGACTTAATCCCATTCCACAACCTGTGATTATTTTAGAAACTATGTCCAGTGTACCCCCAGCAAGGAGATTATTTGTGCATATAGCATATAAATATGCAACCTGGTTCCTAAATCCTATTGTTACTTCTGATACTATTTTTAGTATCAGTGAGGATACTGGTTGGAAATACATGGTACACACATACTAGATAATTTGAAGAGAGACTTAACGAAATTATTTCTAGTGGGGTGGACAGAGTTTAGGAAAATGAACAAGGCGTATATCAAAATTCTGGGGCTAAGAACAGTACCAAGTAGAATTTTACATAATAAATGGAGAGAGCAGCCTAAAAGCAGCAATGGCCTTCAGAATAGCCGATCTGGATATTATGCCCTCAGGAAAGGAGCTGGGAGGATAAATGCCTGAGCCTAAATATGTTCCTGCCTTCTCATCTGTCATTGTCTCTCACTGGCCAAATATAAATGAAATCCAGAGTTTAGGAAGTTATGTTAAGGTTCTCAATACAGGTCAGTCACCTGGGATAGAAAAGACATTACAGAAGGTTTCAGAGAGATAAAGAGTGAACTTACAGAGTCAAACAAAATATATAAAACACAGTTTATTCTCTAATGCCTTATATATCCCTCTTGACGACATTTGTCTGGCAGCTACCAAACCTTCACACTAGTCTGGTTAGAACCCAGATGAGCTAGCAGGGGAGCTGGCAGCAGAACTTCCAGGTAGTATATCTAGAAAAAAATAACTGTGAAATCACTTGGCTGGTTGACAAAAATAAGAGGAACTAGTTGGCTTCTGTGTTTCATTTTTAATTAGTTCTACCTTTATATAAACCCAGAGTTTCAGAAATGGAGGGTAAATCTCTTTGTTTTCTTATAGTGGCAGAATATCAGAATATCTCCTTCGTTAACTCTACCATATCAATGAGAGAACTAAAGAAAGCAAGGTGAAGTCACACTTATGGTACTACTTCCCAATACATAATTACACATGGCCTTAAAAATGCATATTTATATAACAGAAGGAAGCAAATAATAATAAATAGAGCAGATATTTAAGAAATATAGAATAGAAAGCCAATAGAAAAAAAATCAACAAATAAATTGATTTGATTTAAATCAACAAAATTTAAAAATCCTTAACTAAACTAGAAAAAAAAGAGAAGACTCAAATAACAGAAATAAAAAAGACATTATAACTAATGCCACAGAAATAATAAGAATTATAAGAAACTACTATGAACAATTTCATGCCAACAAATTGGATAACCTAGAAGAAACAGATAAATTTCTAAAAACATAAAACCTATCAAGACTGAATCATGAAGAAATAAGTATCTGAATAGACATGTAACTAGGAGATCAAATAATTAATCAAAAACCTCCCAACAACAACAAAAAAAATCTCAGGACCAAATGGCTTCACTGGAGAATACTACCAAACATTTAAAGAAGAATTAACACCCATCTTTCTCAAACATTTCCAAAAATTTACAGACGAAGAGACACTGACAAACTCATTCTATGAGACCAGCATTATTGACCTGATAACAAAATCAGACAAAGATACTACAACAGAAGAAAACTATAGGCTAATATCCCTGATGAATAGTGATGCAAAAATCACAAACAAAATACTAGCAAAGTGAATTCAACTACATATTAAAAAGATTATATATTATGACCAAGTGAGATTTATTCCTGGAATGCAAGAATGGTTCAATATATACAAAGCAACCAATGTAGTGCACCACATTAGTAGAATGCAGGACAAAAACCACAAGATCATTTCAATTGATACAGAAAAAGCATTTGACAAAGTTTAATACATTTTATTATCAAAGCAGTCAACAAACTTGGAAGAGAAGGAAATTACCCCAACATAATAAAAGCAATATACAAAGAGCTTACCCCTAATATCACTCTTAATGGTGAAAAACTGAACTTTCTCTCTGAAGCCAGGAACAATTCAAAGATGCCTATTGTAACCACTTCTATTCAACATAGTATTGGAAACTCTGGCCAGAACAATTAGGCATTAAAAGAAATAAAAGGCATCCAAATTGGGGGGGGGGGGGGGAAAGTAATTACATCTCTGTTTGCAGATGACATAAATCTTATATTTAGAAAATGCAAAGGATTCCACATGAAAACCTGTTAGAACTGATAAATGTATTCGGCAGAGTTGAGACATAAAAATTCAACGGAAAAATCAAGTGTATTTCTATGTACTAACAATGACAATGTGTGAAAGCTGAAAAATTTGCGCTCTGACTACTACAAAACATTGCTGGAAAAAAGAGATATAAACAAATGGAAAAACATTCATGTTAATACATTTGAAGACATAATATTGTTAAAATGCCCTTAGTACCCAAAGTAATCTATAGGTTCAATGCAATCACTATCAAAATCTTAATGAAAAGTTTTGCAGAAAAATAAAAAAAAAAAAATTCTACAAATTTATATGGAATCTCAATGGACCCCAAATAGCTAAAGCAATCTAGATTAAAAACAAACAAAAACAAAGTTGGAGGCATCACACTTCTTGGTTGCAAAATACATTACAAAGCTACACTAAATAAAACAGTATGGCACTGTTATAAAAATATATAGACAATGAAATAGAATAATGAGCCCAGAAATAAACTCTCATAAATATAATCAAATGATGTTTGACAAAGGTGACAAGAACCTACAATGGAGATAGGATAGTCTCTTCAACAAATGGTGCTTGAAAAGCTAAATATCTACATGCAAAATAATGAAGTTGAACGCTAATAACATATACAAAAAATAACTCAAAATGGATTAAAGATCTGAACATCAGACTTAAAATAAAACTCATAGAAAACATAGCGGACAAGCTTCTTGACATTTGAATTAGCAATGATTTCTTGATATGACATCAAAATCACAAGGAAAAATAACAAAATTAAGACAAACAAAACTACATTGAACTTAAAAACTACACAGCACTTCTCTGATGATTAGTGACATTGACATCTTTTTATATGTCTATTGGCCATCTGTATGTCCTCTCTGGAAAAGTGTTTATTCAGGTCCTTTGCCCATTTTTTAGCTGGACTGTTTGTTTTATTGGTGTTGAGTTGTATAAATTTTTTATAAATATTGGATATTAACCCCTTATCAGATATATTATTGGCAAATATGTTCTCCCATTCAGTGGGCTGTCTTTACATTTTGTTGATGGTTTCCTTTGCTGTAAAAGAACTTTTTAGTTTGATGTAGTCCCATTTATTTATTTTTTTCTTTTGCTTCCCTTGTCTAAGAAAATATGTGAGAAAAAAATATTGATACAAGAAATGTCCAAACCCACAATACAATGTACAGGTGATGTATTATGGAGTTGTAGACTTGAAACCCGTATAATTTTATTAACCAATGTTATTCCAATAGATTCAATAAAAAATAAAATTAATAAAAACTACACAGCAAAAAAAACAATCAAGAGAGTGAAAAGGCGAACTGCGGAATGGAAGAAAATATTTGCAAATTGTGTGTCTGATAAGTGGCTATTGTCCATAATATATTTTTAAAAACTTCTTTAATTCAACAACAACAAAATCTGATTTTAAAATGGGCAAAAAACTTGAATATACATTTCTCCAAAGAAAACATACAGATGGCCAACACATATATGAAAAGATGTGCAATATCATTTATCATTAGGAAAATGAAAATAAAACCACAATACAATATCTATGTATACCTCTTAGGATGGCTGTTACTAAGAAACAAAACAAAACAGAAAATAACAAGTATTGGCAAGATGCTGAGAAATTGGAAACCTCATGCACTACTGGTTGGAATGTAAAATGGTGCAGCTACTATGGATAATAGTATGGAAGTTCCTTTAAAAAAAAATCTCATTTCTGCCTTGGCTCAGGTGGTTGGAGTGTTGTCCAATTTACCAAAAGGTCCAGGTTCAATTCCTGGTCAGGATATATACCTACGCTGCAGGTTTGATCCTGATTGAGGCACTTTCAAGAGGCAACCAATTGATGTTTCTCTCTCACAGAGATGTTTCTCTCACGTGCGCTTTTTCCAGCCTCTCTCTAAAAAAAAAAAAAATCAATAAGCATATCTTCAGGTGAGGATTTTTAAAAAATCATTTCTAGTATATACCCAAAAAGATTAAAAATAGAATCTCAAAGAGATATTTGCACACCTATGTAAATTACACAATTATTCATAATAGCCACAAGTTGGAAGTAAACCAAATGTCCATTTACAGAAAACTGAATAAAGAAAAGGTGATGTATATACATGCAATGAAATATTATTTAGCTTTTAAAAAGGAGAAAATATTGTCATATGCTACAACAGAGATGAACCTTGAAGACATTATGCTAAGTGAAATAAGTCAGTCACAGAAAAGAAAAATACTGCATAATTCCACTTATATGAGGTATCTAAAGTAGTCAAACTCTTAGAAACAGAAAGTAGCATGATGACTGCCAAGGGCTGGGGTGAAAGGGAAAAAGAGAAGTTGTTGTTCAGTGGATGTAGAGTTTTAGTTTAGCAAGATAAAAAAGTTCTAGATACCTGTTGCACAACAAGAACATAATTAACACTACTGTACTGTACAGTTAAGAATGGTTAGGATGATAGTTTATGTTACATGTTTTTTACCACAATTTTAAAAAATTAGATTCAGAATTACTAGTGAGGTTGTCATTATAAATAGTGTTTTTAAAATTATATTTCAAGCAGTAACAGTAAAAATGTACACTTTAGATGTATTTATATGTACATATATATGTGCATATCAGTAGCATTTACATACATTTTTCTAAAAATATGGTTACTAAAAATTAAATGTGCATATATATGCATATATATATATACTAAAGTATCTATCCAACAAATATTTTACACAATGTAGACAAAAAAGGAAAGAAAATGGCTTACCTTTCATCGGAAGAATGCTTCTCAGAGTTCTTAATTAGGGGAGCTCCTATCGCATAACCCAAAGCATATCCAATTGTTACTGAAGCTTCCATAATACCTATAAAATACATATTGAATATCAGACTACCATATAAGCTAGCTTTGTCACAAGATAGTAAAAGACACATCACCGAAATGGATTTCTTTTGAAAGCTTCATAGGATACTTTATTAATCAGGGTTCTCCAGAGAAACAGAACAAAGAGAATTTGTGTGTGAGAGAGAGTGAAATGATTTCTGAGCTATATTTTATTCACAGGCAACTATCTCCTGGTTATCTGATCAATATCTCTCAGTAGGAAAGACTTTTTTCTAATTTTTCTTTATTTTTTTATTCTTACACTATTACAAATAAGATATTTAGAGTGTGAGAGTTTAAGGAATTGGCGTATGCAATTGTGGGGCTGGTAAGTCAAAATTTGTGACAGGCTGGCAGGTTGAAAATCCACGTAAGAGTCAATGTTACAGTCTTAAGTCTATAAGTCTGAAGTCCATAGGGCAGGACAGCTGGCTAAAAAAACTCAGGCAGAATTTCTCTCTGTTTACTGGAGACAGATTTACTTCTTTGGGAAACCTCAGTCTTTATTCTAAAGGGCTTCAACTGATTGAATGAGGTTCACCCACATTATAGAGGGTAATCTGCTTTACTCAAAGTCTACTGATTATAAATGTTAGTCACTTCTGAAAAATATCACAGAAACATCTAGACTTGACCAAACAACTGGTTGCCATTACACATAAAATTAACATCATACATATTATCCAATGTATGTTTTAGAGAAACTCAGATAACTTCATTATATAATTGACTGTACCGTATATAATCTATATATTCAATATAAGTAAATATATGTATATTTAATATAAATTCAATATACTTTATTTCACTTTAATTTGTGGTACTAAAACAAGATTATACTTTATAATGATACATTATTGTCACCTTTGTATTTTTTATCTTAGCTGCCAGAGTGGCAAGAAGTGACAATAAAGTAGACTTCTTTCTGCAGTGTCTAGATGTGTGTGTTAATTGCTATTCAGTAGAACTAAAAGTAAAACAAGCTTATTTGTTTTTACCCTCAGCCAAGACCAATAAATCACTGCAAATATTTTTTTTTCAAAAGCAAACATATATATGAATATCATCTATTTATTCATCTATTTTAGTTTATTGGCATGACTTTCCTTACCTCTGGTGGAAAAAAATATTATTTTGGCGTAAAATGCTATTTTCTTTTAAGTCACCTTGACAATAAGTATAGAAAAATAACTTTCACTTTTTCAAAAATTATAGTTAGATAACCCTGTACAAAAAGATTATCTACAAGGACTAGAAGCTATTGCAATATAAGGAAATACAGATTATTCTGAGATATACACCAGGGTTATTTATTATAGGATACATTAGCATAAAACACTGTAAAATAAGGACACTACACTGTAGTTAATTAAATAGCATATCATTTCTCTACTTGAAGGGATGAACAAGATTGTTTGTATTAAGTTCAAAATATCAGAGCCTCCCAAAAAGACTAAGTTAATGTATACAAAGAACTGAGTTTAATGATAACCATTTAGAACCACACTTATTCTAGTACTGAAGAGACATAAAATAATGTTTCTTTCCCCCTATGGACATGATGGCAGCAACTTTCCACACATATCCCCAAAGATTAAACATACCACTAATCAAGAAATTGAATCTGGTAATTTTGTCTTTTTTTTCTAGAGGAATGAACTATAGCTTATATAATTTGATATGACATATTGTGTGTGTGTGTGTGTGTTTGTGTGTATGTGTAAAAAGTATAGTTTTTATTACTTAAGAATGCATTTTTCTGATTGTTCTATGTGTTTTAAGGTGGCCTTCAGATGATTTGTCTACAATTCCAAGTCTCAAGCAGCTCTTCAGAATTAAGTTGCTCAATGTGATTTTGAAGTTAAGCATACCAGTTACCATTTATTCCAATGTTATTATAAGAGCCAATAATTAGCATTTGTATTTCAGTTTAGATTGCACACCAAAATATAGAAGCTCAATAAAAATTCATATTGGGTAAATCTTATTAGGAAAAAAAAAAACTTGCCTAGATAAATACCAACTGTGTGTGTGCCAACATTGTCATCAACAAAGATTGTTCCAAGGACATAAAGAGGCATCCCTGCCATTCCCTGCACAGTCTGCCCAAGGATGAAGAAAATTATATATCTTGACTGGAATGGTAAGGATTTCTTGCAAGATCTGCTAGTCTTCTGTTCTTCACAAATATCTTTTGAAAAAGGTGATTTTAATATTTTGTTAAATGAATCAAAACTTAAACGTGCAACAAATATATAGTATTTTTATGAAATATTTCAATTTTTACAAGCTATTTCCACCATTTACTTTTTTCTTTTAGTTAAGATTTCATTTACATTGAATGTAGTAGTTCTACAATCAATCATCGTGCTCTCAGAAAAACACAATGATAAAATAAAGTTTGTGGGAATACTGAACAAGATGCAAAGATTATAAACCAAATAAAAATGTGAATGTATGACTATACACACACACACACACACACACACACACACACACATACACACACACACATATTGACCTAGGTAAATATACATAACTTAAATTTGTCATCTTGGTAACTCTGACTTTTGACCCAGGATAAAAGTATCTCTAATATTAGTTTTAAATTGTCTGAATTACCAAAGACTACCTTCTGAGTTTTGTTCTATACCCACTTCATCAGCACTCTACACAATAAGTTTGTGTCACTTTGATTGAATAATTTCTCATTTTATACCCACTAACTTCTAGAATATAGGCTCATAGGGACCAGACATTATACCAGTGATTTTCAACTGCTGTGACTTAAGAATTTTTAAAATGTGCAGTACCTGATTACTTAGTAGGGGTACTGACCTCTTTCCCTTAGATTGTCAAATCTAAAAAATGACAACAGCCAACACAGCAATAGCTGTCCAGTGTAACTATTTTTTGTCAGATTGGCAAAAATTATATTTTTTGGAGTGCCACAGAATTTTAGTAATTAGTTTACATGTGACACAAGATGAAAAAGGCTGAAAATCACTGCATTATACAACAAAACTTTTTGTTAGTCATTATATAGTAATCTACTAAATTTAAATTTCCTTAGGGGACAGTTTATTTCAAGCTTTTTTTTTTATTCACAAGGTGGTAAAACAATAGTAAATAAATATGTGTTAGAATTACATTTGTTATTAGCTTGGTAGATCCAAACAATGCTATTAGATAATTCTGATTATGTACATTGGATTGGAATTTAACAAATGTTCTGAAAATATTGTGAAAAATCTGTTACTATGTAGTTTGCAAAATAGTACACTAATGGAAAATTTCAGCTGGCTCAGTATTCATATGGAATATTTGAATCCATGTTAAATAGGAGGAGGTCTCCAAAATTGTGATCCAAACTACTTGATGATTTAATTTTATGTAGACATATCAGTATCAATGAGATATTTCCAACACTCTGGCCTCTTAGTTCCTTGAAAGGCTTTCTTCCTATGTAATTGTACTCCACTTACCTTAGTTACTGAATATAAACTTTCAAAAGCAATGAACTACAAAACTTCCTTAATTGCAATTTCAAGTATCCTACAAACATCTTTACCTTTCTAGCTCACTCCGCCTAGTAACCCAATCCCAACAATCCCTAAAACCTACCAGGACCTATACAATCCTTTGATCCTGCTCCTTTTCACTTTCCCAATGTCCCCTTTATATCCTTATTTCTCTTAATCATAAAAATTTTAAATCCCTTGCTCTCTTTTATATCACGCAATCCCTCAGTAAAATTGCAGTCCTGGTCAATTAAACTCTTTTCCTTACTCTACACCTATACTTTTAAAGCTGAATGTGGCCACAGAAAACACACAATCGTGCAAATCTCACTTTGAATTCATGATTATTAAACTCAAGGAGGTCCTTCAACCTCCTGCTGATCAAATATGTCCCTAGTCTACTACTCTTGCCTCCTTCTAGGAAATTCAACTTGTCTCCCTTTTTCTACAGTTCACAGTCCAGATATTCCTGCTATCCAATATCCAAAAGTAAATATTTTCCACCCATAGAATAAAACTAATCTTTTAGCACCCTTCTTCATGTTGAAAAAAAATCCTTTGTTTGGACTATAATTTCAAGAAGGGAACAGACAGTACTAGAAACACTGATGAGAGTTCAAAAACTATAACAAGTACAGAGTTTTAATTATATTAAATAACATGAATTACATTGGTAGCATGGTGAAAATCACTTCATTGCAGTGTTTAGGGTGAAAGCCATGTTAAAGTGGGTTGAAAAAAAGAATATGAGGTAAAGTCAGAAAGTATGGACATGTCTTTCAAAAAAATTTGTCAATGAAAATGAAGAGGTTTTGCAAAGTGATAAAAAGAGGACTGTGAGTTATATCTATTGTTGTTTTTGTTTTTTTAAGAATGGGAATAAGTTGAGCACATTTAGGTGCCAATGAGTAGGACCAAGAAAGAGGAAGACTTTGCAGAAGGAGGAGCAAGATCACCATTGGAATTCAGTTCCCAAGTAGACCAGAGAGAACAGGATATGTAGCAGGAGCGTAGCTCTTCCATTTTCACAGGAAGAAGAATGTGAGCATGAAAATATAGGTAGAACTATAATTGCTATGATAAGAAATTAAGGCAATTTTCTCTTATGGCATGTATTTTCTATCCAAGACAGACAGAAGATAAGTGAGGTACTGCAGACGGAATATTTTTATCCACCCCACCCCCAAATTCATATGTGGAAATCTCAATCCCCCAATGTGATGGTATTTGGAGACTGGGCTTAGGGAAATAATTAAGTCATGAAAGTAGAGTCCTCATAAATGGGATTGGTGCTTTTATAAGAAGAGACACTAGAGATCTTGCTCTCCCTCTCTCTTTTTCTCTGCTATAGCAATATGAGGACATAAGCAAGAAGAGGGTCCCTAGCAGGGACTAAATTGTCTGGTGCCCAGATCTTGAACTCCCATCCTGCAGAGCTGTGAGAAATAAATTTCTGTTGTTTAAGCCACCGAGTCTAAAACATTTTTGTTATAGCAGCCCAAACTAACTAAAACACGAGGAAAGTCTACAACACTTGTTATGAATTATGGAAGAGAGTAAACTAAAAAAGAAAAAGAAAAGAAATGCCAGGGGAGTGGATCCATTTAAGAGCATAATGAGGTTGATAGTAACAAATTCACTGTGGGACTAAAGCTGTCCTCTGTGTGATTTTTCTCTAAAACACTTATCACCAGCCCAGGAAAGACATATAGCTGGATCAAAAGTTTTCTAGCCAGGAACAAGAAAGGAAAATGGAACAGGAATCTTAGAATTATGATTGGAGTATGTTTGAAATACTCCAATATTTCATTTGAAGGAACATAAAACAAACTAGAAATGAAAATGACAACAAAGAGAATCTGATAAAGGAACAAAGTAGATGTCAATAGACTAAAGGGTCCAACAGAAGAGCTGCTGTTTTTAATTATGAGTGAGTTGGAAGAATAAGTGGGTACAATTGGAAAGTGAGATAACAGATATTTAGGAAGTTCTCAGTAAAGTGACAGTTCACTGCAACCGTGGGTATGTTGGGAGGTCAATTAAATGTAAAGATCTAGAAACTAAAGATCAGAGTGTGATACATATGTTTTTTACCAACTAATGGAGAAAATTCAGTCTTAACTGCTAAAGGATTTGGTGGAGTATGATATCTACTGTTGGTTGAGGCAAAGGGCCAGAAGGTCAACTTGTCATGAATATGGAAAACTGTGATGGGATGGGGGAAGCAGAGGAAAGGAGTGGAAGGTAGTGGTAAATGGACTGTTCCAAAGAGAACATTGAAATTCTACACACACACACACACACACACACACACAGGTGTGAACATAGAGTAGAAAATTGTTTAAGTAAGAAATAAACATTTAAACAAAGTATGTAATATATCTGCATAGATAGGTGTTTGAAATGAGCACTTGACTCATTTGACTGCAAAGACTATTTCTGCTTCTCTAATACCAAGCCGAGGGTCACCCAGTAAATACACTAAATAGGTGTTGCACGTTCCTAATCAGAAGCAGAAAATAAAGTACGTAGAATCAAGATGACATAAAGAAGACACAAAGGAAAAGAGACTGTACTATTTCTACTCAAGCAGCATTTCTCTAATGTCTCAAGCAGTGCTTCCTAACTTTTCATCCTTTCATCCTTTCTGACCTGGATAAGGTAAAGGGAAAAAGAGAAATAATGTTTTTCATTCTCATGTGTTTTCCCCTTCTTTCCATAAATCATCTTCTAGTTCAATAAGCTGTCCATTCTACAAATATAATTATATTATATATACATTCTACAAATTAATAAATAATTTACTTGAAATATTCATATTCTGCAAATATTAGAGATACATTAAAAATATATGTACATAGTATATAATTGATATACTGATATAACATATATCAATATATCATTTAATATATAAACTTTATAGTATCATAAGTATGTTAATTATATTATTATACTATGTAAATTATTATCTTTAGTATGAATTAGTTTTATTTATATGGTAAATACACATTATAAACATACATTTTAAACATCATAAGCTTATACACACACACACACACACACACACACATACATACACCCTCATGCCTTTTTCTTTTTTTTTTGTTTTTGTTTTTGTTTTTTTATCCTCACCCGAGGATATTTTTCCATTTTTTGTACAGATAGAGTGGGAGGGAGAGAGAGTAAGGGAGAGAGAGAAACATCGACGTGAAGGGACACATCGAGTGGCTGCCACCCGCACGACCAACCAGGGCCGGGGACAAACTGCAACCGAAGTACGTGCCCTTAGCGGAACCGAACCCGGGTCTCTCCAGACCGCAGGCCGACGCTCTAACCGCTGAGTCAAACTGGCCAGGGCGCTCATGCCTTTTTCCATATGTCTTGCTGAAGCCCAGTTTAAAGTTGCCAAAATGGGTAAATGCATTCCAACACTTTTATAAGCTTAATCAAAAGAAAGTTATGACTATGGTCAGAAATAGTGCTATAAAACTTCAAATAGCCTTTATCTACCGGGAGTAGCAAAAAGATTGTGGGATAAATTTTTTTAAATGAAGACAGTGAAGAAACCACCAATTGTTTTAGATTCAAAGTCTATGTCAAAGGACAGTTCCCATTTTGAAGTGGTAAGACTAGCTAGAAAATGCCTGACTTTTCTTTTTGTGTGGGTGTAAGTTTTTTATACTTATATTTGTGCTTGTGTGTATGTGTTTTGGAGTCAAAATAAATTGAATAGTTAAAGCATATTGTGGAAGACATAAGGAACTACTAAAATTCTCAAGAGACATATATAAAAATTGATTAAAGAAAACAATTTCACAAAATGATCACCAAAAAATGTCCTTTCGCTCTGGGCGGTTTGGCTCAGCAGTTGGAGCGTCGGCCTGCAGACCAGAGAGTCCCGGGTTTGGTTCCTGCTAGAGGCACATACCAAAAAATAATTAAATAAACTTGATCATATAAATGGATGGATGTTTGTATGGACAGACAAATACCACAGTCTATTTTAAGTTCCTAGAGGCAATGATTTAAATTAGTAATTATTTGATGAATGATAGCATCATTTAAATCTTACCTTCAGTTTCCAAGATCAGATTGTTTTGTTCACCATAAAAATATGGAAAAGCAAATAAAAGTGATCCAAATCCTACTAAAAAGGAGGAAACTATAAGCCATCTTAGTATGTTTCCTCTCCCTCCATAGTATGATATAAACACTACTATCAGGCAAGATGAAATATCATAACTTAATGACACCACCATACTATGAATTTTTTGCAGATGATGGCCCATCTGAAATGTTTCGAAGCTCACTTCTATAAGACCAAACACAATACCTAAAATGTAAAAAGAAAAAAAATAAAGCAATAATATGCATTTTAAGAGACAAAAATAAATCACCATTATAAACATTGCAAAGCAAAACCTCATTTACAGTGATTTAAGTTCATTTCACCTTATTCTGAATGTGTAACATTTATGTATATAATAAATCTTTTCTATAACACTAATGGGCTTTAACCTCTATGAAATATTTGCCAATGGAATTATTGTAGCTTTTTAAAATGCTATCTTCATGCCCGGCCAGTGTGGCTCAGTGGATTGAGCATCGTCCCATGGACTGAGAGGTCCTGGTTTGATTCCCAGTCAGGGCACATGCCCGGATTGCGGGCTCAGTCTCCAGTAGGGGGTGTGCAAGAGGCACATCAATGTTTCTCTCTCTCTCTCCCTTCCACTTTCTCTCTAAAAAATCAATAAAAACATTTTTAAAAATACTATATTCAAGAGTAATTTACTGAAGAATATGACCTTTTTAATCATCTCAGTAGTAATATTTATTTTGATGTATCATAAGTAACAATCTAATATCTACCATATAGAACAGAAAGTAAAACATTATCAAAATAGTTGAAGTCCAACAGGTACTTCCCAAACACATTCTACTCTCTCCTTCCATAACCTATATCTTATACTTGTTCACCATTTCCTAGCCTCCTTAACAATTTTTTTGACAATGTAGACATTCTTGAACAATACAGAGTATTGCTCGTCATGTTCTGAGCATGAAATAAATAGTATCAGATATGCCCATTTCCATCATTTAGCATCCAACTAGGAAAAAATAATCATACTAAATGTGTGAAACAAAAATAAATTGGCGTAGAAATTATGACAAAGTAATTTGTTGGATTAGAAAGGGAAAATAATTACTAATCAAAACTCATGATATCTATGCTATCAAAGTTGCTGGATCATGAGCAGCTGTAGAGGGTTGAACTCACTACCTCTTTTGCAGGAAGCCAGGACCCCCACTCCTACTAATGCTGAGAGTTAGCTCACAATCACCTGCTGCTGTTCCAGTTGCCAGAGTCAGAGCCCATGAGCACTAGGTGGCTGAATCATCTAGTGTTGCTGCTGATAGAGCTGCATTAATTACTGACCATAAATTCTGGAGCCTTCATAACTCCAGGATTGTTGCCTGCTGCCAAAAAATATCACCAGAAACAGGAAGCAGGAAAAAAAAAAAGTTTTCCCTTTGCTCCTTTTTCAAATCTACTGCCACAGCTTCCCACTGCTAACACCTAAGTGAGGCCAGCTGCAAGGAAATCTGGGAAATGTAGTTTACAGGCTGCCAATCTCTTTGTAAACAGGAATGAGTCCAGAAGGGGAACAATGGAGTTTATGGCCAACAGACAAACAACCTGTAAAATTCACCCTTTAGACAGCTCAGGATACATTTTCACACTTCTCTCCTTATTTAAGCATCCATACCAAATTAATAGCAATATTATCATGCTTCTTCCCAAATGCTTCAATTATTCTTACAAAGACTTTCTTATTTGTTCCCCAAAAAAGGGAGATACAGTCCAATCAGTCATCATATCCATCTCAAGGTAGCGTGAATCCTTCTAGTTCAATCACAAACACCACTGAGTGTTCTTTAACATAAAAACTAAATTGCAAAGGTATAAATGGTATAGAAAGGTATAAAAGATATAAATAAATAAATAATTAAGCAGCCCGCTGGTGTGGCTCAGTGGTTGAGCATCAACCCATGCATCAAGAGATCACCAGTTCGATTCCCAGTCAGGGCACATGTCCAGGTTGCAGGCCGATCCCCAGTGGGGAGGCATGCAGGAGGCAACCAATCAACATTCTCTCTCATCAATGTTGCTATCTCTCTCCCTTCCTCTCTAAAATCAAAATAGAATTTTTTTTCCTTTATTGATTTTATAGAGAGAGGAAGAGAGAGAGAGAGAGAGAGAGAGAAACATCAATGAGAGAGAACATCAATTGGCCACCTCCTATATGTTCCCCACCGGGGATTTGGCCCACAACCTGGGCATGTGTCTTTACTGGGAATCGTATGTACTGGCAACCTCTTGGTGCATGGTTCAATGCTCAACCACTGAGCCACACCAGTCGAACAAGAAAAATATATATTTTTAAAATAATAATAATAATTAACCAAACATATCATAAACCTAACTAAAGTTGTGAGGGAATTGTATTGCAAAAGACACCATTAATCTGACTTAGAACCACAACAATTTAACAGACCGAGAGCAGCAAGAAACAAGATAACTTTGCTGCATGCAGGAAAATAATTTTTTCCACCTCTTCATTTTAGATGTAGCCCAGAAGGATAATTGCCAACGCAATAAATATCTTGTCAGTAACAATGTCCATCTCCGGGGTTGACGTATTAATTCCCCTTCTAATTCAGGAATATTCTGTACCCTAGAGGTGAAGTTGTAAAGTCATCGCTCACTATACCCACTTATAAAATAGAAAGGGAAAGGAAATGCAAAAAAATAAAAAATTGGAATACACACACACAAATGTATATATGTTTGTTTGTGTATAAATGAAACAAACAAGAAAAAAATACATAGTTGTACAGTTTTTATTTCTCTAAATGGTATGAAGACACAGGTAATATTAATAAACTTCTTTCCTATGCATTTCCTCTTCTACCTCTTGATCTCACATAACATGTATAGGTTATTTCAAAGCACACTCTTCACCCTAGAGGACAGCACCCCAAACTTTTCTATTGCTGTCTCCTAGCTGGAGCCCTATCTGAGTCTTCAGTAGGACATTATAATTATCTAGAAGGCCAAGAGTTTCTGGTTATTGAGATATGTAGTAAGATCAATGAATTCCATTAACATGAATTCTCTATACTTCTTTTGCTACAAAATGAATTCCTTCATTAAAAGCAATAAGATAATAAATAAGATGATCATGATGGTGCATAAGACATGCATTAAGTCCAAGTCGAGTTGTTTTGGCAGAAACATGGAAATAAAAGAACCCATATCCAAAACAAATATTTATTTCAGTGAGAATAAATTATTGCCCACTCCATAATAGAAGCAGATGATGTAAACAACTTGCCTCCAGGTAGTGGGTTGATTTCACTAGGGAATGGAACCATTTCCTGAATTATGTTGACTTTTTCTGGTTGGTAAGACAGGCACTCAGTAGTGCGATAGCCAGATAAGCTCTGGTGAAGATAAATGCATGCATTCAGCTCTTGTATAATCTCCATCCTTGATGCAACTGTCATTATAAACATGAGCCCACTGAACAAGATATACAATGGCTGGGAACAGAGGCTGGCTACTATTCACAGGATGGTTATGCATCTACCTCATTATTGAGAGCTTCCTTTGCAATGAATTTCTTTGATGAATATTTGCATTGGCTAACTCTGCCCATTCAGAGAGACATACCACTTACCACGCCCTCCTAGTCACCAAATGGTCAACCCATTAGGCAATGGCAGCATGGTTTCTAGGAAAGACAATCAAATTTTACTGCTCAATGTTCTGTCCACTGAAAGGATTTTCCTTTTCCTCTACTTTTCAGGGACTCCCCCGAGTGGGACTATAATGTTATCATAGCATACTTCCACCTTTAAAAGCCACAGACTCCAAAGATTGTGTTTTTCTTAGTAGTAAATGGTACAAATGAAGAAACTTTCCTTCATTTTGCAAGAGGTAGTCCAGCACACTAAAAGCCAAGTGGTCCCTAGAGACATTGTTGAAGTGCAGGCAAATTTTTGGTGTATAAGACATTTTCTTCCAGCGCAAACTTTATGTTAGTCACTCTGAGAAGCTTGAGATCTGATTCTAGTTATGAATTAGGTAAAAATAAGGGGTGGTGGGATGGATCATGAGGGCAATAAGCATTCCCTTGAGTCAGGTGAGATAAAGTCAGTGCCTTCAAGCAGGGAACTGTTTTCTCTTCAGTCATAGGAGGAAAGGTTGCTCCTACAGGAAAAGGAGATTTGGGATCTCAGGGTGGATGGTTCTCAGATTCACTGAATTCCACCCAGTTCTCAGGGTCAAAGCCTCTCTAATCAACACCCCAACTCTCACATAAGCGCTCTAGTGAATCTGTGAATTCAACTTGTGTTGTAAATCTACAACCATGAATTGGGGTTGGGACTATTCAAAATATGCAGTATGTGACTAAAAGTGATAAGATTCTCTTATAACCAGAAGGGAAGCTCACACATTTTCTAATTATGCCCTAATCTCATATTATTTCTGTAAACTTTGCAGTACTGTCAGAAGCAGTCAGTCAACTCCAGAATCTAGTTTAAAGCTCCACCATAGAAGTCAATTGCAGAAGCTTTTGCTCTTCCAAAGACTTGCCTCCAATGAGAACTTATCTCAGGTAACATTTTAAATAACTTTTTGTCACTATATGCCATGACTTCCAGTGTACCCTTTTCTACAGGCACAAATATTCTTGTTTTTGTTGCTTTCAAGCCCAATTAGGTCAGATAACCAAATCCAGATTCCCATCTCTGAGGGATGGTTTGTTTGTTTCTTCCTGGTTCAATGCTTGGTATAAAGTATTATATAAAAAATTATATGATTTTTATGATTTATATACAAATTAGATTTATTACATTGGTGAGCTAAAAGTTTAGTACAAAACTTTTCAAACATCATTATATTTGTATCTCATAACATTTTCAAAAGAAATATTATTTTTGAGACATACTTTAACCAATTACTTATCTCTAATAAAATGTTATTAATATTTTTATGAAAAATATATTTTAATATGATCCTGTGTCTAACTGTTCTCATGAAATTAGCTGCAATTCATTAAAATTGCTTTTTATAGATTTGCAACAGAGTTGACTCAGCAAACCTTGATTGCTCAAAAAAGACCTGTCTTCAAGACTGACCTTTGGTTGTCTCCTCAGAAATGACTGAGTCCTTGAATATTCTGCCTAATAAGAGTGCTTCTATATGCCTGAAGGCTTGGGCCACACAGTACCAGTTGGATCAGATACTAACAAGTTGATATAAGG